ATATTGAAATTGACTATCACTTTATTTGTCATTATCTGCTTACTCAAATTATTCTAGTAATATTTTAGTAATATTTTAGATTAATTTGATATTAATTTAAAGAATATTAGATATTGATTTAGTTGATTATAGGAATTGGTTTAGTCATTATTTCTATTAATTGTTTTATTTATTTATTTTGTAACATTTTACTTTTATATAAATAGGCTTTAAACCTCCTTATAATATACAAGTTATTATAATAAAATTTTCATTATTTTCTCCTTTTTTTCACTTTCTTCATTTGCTGGTTTAAAGATAGTATGTTATCATGGTTTGGGATAAACCAACAGCTTGCTCCAATTAGCAGTGACAGATTTCATCCTGTCCATGCCATGAGTGTTTCCCATCTCCTTTTCCCGCCGAAAGTGTCATATTTTGCTTTGAAAGACTGTAACAACTTAAGCAAAATCATAAGTATGGAACAGGAAAAGTTTGGTTTAACAAATTGCAACATTCTTTTACAATTAGCTTGCTTCGGAGCAAAAAAAGTGACAGCTAATTTTTGATATGAAACATTATGCCAAACAAGTTCTTACCAAAAAACATATTAAGTTAATTTTTGACATGGAACAATATACTCGAAGAGGAGATTAGATTCACACAAAATTTGAGAATATTTCATCGTATTATAAAAAAAAAAAACGAAAACTAACTGCAGAAGAACATGCCAAACAAGTTCTTATATTATGTTAGTATAAGGTTAATAGTAAATTACTGCTATTAGATTGGCTAATAGACCAGGATTCTCTAGATCAAGCCAATGCTTGAATACGTACCAATGAGGTCAGGGCTTAGCTAACTTTCTCAATTGCTTTCAGTCCTTTTACTTTCATACTGAAAAATCTTAAACAATTGAAATCATCAAGCAATGTTCCCTCTCCCTCTCTTTAATCAGTGCTTGTCCATGTCACCTAAGTTTGGGTTTTTTTAACGTGTCTAGAGAATTTGATTATGACAGCTAAGAAAACCTGTTTGACAAGCAGGAAAAAAAATATAATTTCTTATAAGTTTTAGAAAGAAAAGGTCCTTGGTTTTTTGAACGTGTTATCGTGGTTTACATTTAGAAACCAAGCAGAACAATGAAATAATTTTGAAGGATGAAAATGACTTTACAATAATAAATGCTCATATTAATTTAATCTGTAGGGAAATTAAAGAAGTTTCCTTGAAAACTTGGCTACCATAAATATCAGCTGCATGGAAAGCAGAAATTGTGCAAACTGCACACGCTTCTTCTAACAAAACAAATTCATTACTTTCTTATTAGTCCCAAATTCAACAATTACCTTGTTATTTACTCAAGGCTAGATTGCTCTAATTCGCAATATACTGAAGATTAATTTTTTTTGTTCTAAATAGTATTAAGTTACTGGTATTATTTGAATACAGGATTACTTAAATCGAAATGAACACCTTATCAACCGAGCCAACCTATCAATGCATAAACTCAATAAATTATTTTTAATATAAAAGAGATTAAAGAAAAAAAAATATAATAAAAAATTACAGATACTGAAATTTTAATTTGGATTTAACTTAAGTCAACCGGTTCATTTTTTTTACCTTTCATGTTTAGCCAAGCCCAATTTGAGCGATTAAAATATGTTTGTCTCTTATATTACCCTCAGGCCAAGGCCCAACTTTCATGGATTTCTATTGTGTGGTTGGGAAAGTTCATTCATAAGACACTATGATCAGAACTCCATGACAAATTGACAACCAATTATACATATTAACTCTCTGTAGCAAATCATTGGAGTTATTCTTTGAAGACCCGCCCAAATATATCTCAACAAATGGAGCTCATTCAAAAGAAATACCGACTACAGGCAGAGAAAGTCGGCAAAGTGTTTATAATAAACGAGGACAAAAGCTCTAGTCTGGCTGCTGATACAAATGAGATTGACAATTTTGACTGCCATGGCATAAATGGTTCCCTACAGTGTGGACAGGTTACCTCTTCTGCCAGATTAGTCATCAGTGTGCTGTACATAGGACGTTGCCACACATCTTCCTCCATGGAGGCCTGCGTTGCATTGCTTTAGATAATAGATCTAGCTGGTTTCTGTTGGATGTTTTAGCGTCGGAGTTCTGTAAAATAGTATCTGCAAATTAGAATCAGCAACTGCTGTTTGACTGCTCCTCTGATAATTCCCGAATTTGTAATCCTCTGAGATACAGTTTGATCATTGGCTTCAATTATTCAAGATATTGATTGTTGATCATAGGAACTTGGAAATATGGCCAAGCAAATTCGTTTATTTCCATTATCGTATGCATAGATATAAGAAAAAAAGTAGTTGGATGAGAAGTGAATAAACATTGCAGCAAACAACGGCAAAGAAACTTAAACTTTTTCATTTATTTTTTTTTTTAATTCCTAATTTATCTATGAACCTTTTACCCTCATACTTATTTAACTAAAAAAGATATTACACATAAACTTTTTCTAATCCACAATTATTAAGTGTCAATTCTAATATCATGCCAATAAATCCAAAAGTTTGTCGACAATTTTTCTCTTTATTAACCTATTGATTAAAGTCTTCGACTCAAATAATAGCCTGTAATATATAATTTTTTATTTAAATTTGTTTTATTAACATATTAACTATAGATTTTGACTTAAATAATAACATATAGTATATAGCTTTTGGTTAAACTATTTTATTTTACTATTTAACTATAATCTTAATTCAAATACTAACATGTAAATTATAGCTTTAACATAATTTTTTCTTTTTACTAATTTATTGGAAATAGATTTTGACCCAAACAGTAACTATAGTTTATAACCTTTGATTCAAAATTTTCTTTTTATTAACCTATTAACTAGTATATGGTCCCCACCATGTTAGGGATTAAATTTTTTTTGTTTTAAAATTAAAATATTTAATTTTTTATTTTAATAAAAAATATAATTATCTACCTTATTTGATCATTCAGTTTTTTTTTTTTTGAATAAAATGTCACATGCTTAATTTTATAAACAAATAGTAAAGATATTTTAATAATTTAATATGTGATTAATTTTATATTACGTTAAAATTTAATATGTAATTATATTATAGTAATTTTGAAATAAAATACATGTCAATTTCCTATGAAGCACTTACAAAGGCATTTACGTAATTATAATATAAGAGATACTATAGTAATTTTGGTTAATTACAGTGTAGGGATATTTTTGTAAGTATGGTATGAGAAGTATTATAATAATTTTGGCTAATAATGATAAGAGAGATATTTTCATAGTTATTGTAAGAAGGTATTATAATAACTTTGATCAATTATAGTAGAAAAGATATTTCTATAATTATGATAAGATAATATTAAAATAATTTTGACTATTTATGAAAAGAGAGATATTATCGTAATTATGATAGAAAGACTTTATAGTAAATTTGAATACGTATTAACATCATATTAAATAAATTAACAAAGAGGCGTTATAGTAATTTTTATGAAAATTATTTTAATATATGTTATTTAACATTTAATAAGTAATTTAATAAGGATATTATAGTAAATTTAAAACAAAGTTCCACATGTCAAATATTTATAAAGCAATGACAAGAGTATTTTAGTAATTTAATACGTAATTAATGTTATGTTAAATTTTCATATGTAATTTAATAGATATATTATAATAATTTTTAAATAAAATATCACATGTCAAATTTTTACAAAATAATGGTAAGGATATATTAATAATTTAATATGTGGTTAATTTTATATTATGTTAAAATTTAATATATAATTTAATAAAAATATTATAGTAATTTTGAAAAAAAAGACCACATGTTAACTTATTATGAAGTACTCATAAAAGTATTTTTGTAATTATGTATAATAGGTATTATAGTAATTTTTAATTAATTATATTAGGGGTATTTTTATAATTTTGATAAGATGGACATTGAAGTAATTTTTGTAATTTTGGTAACCATTTTTTTTTTTATTAATCTATAAGCTACAGCACTGTGATAATAACTAATAGCTTGTAGTCTTCGGCCTATCAATAAACTAAGCATTTTGCTTAGGCTAGAGAAATTGAACCTCTTTTACAGCATGAATAGTAAGTTTATACAAACTATCAATCCCGAATATTTACATGGTACCAATATTTTTAAATTAATGGTAGAATTGCAAGCCTTTGATTGTTAAAGAGGCAGGGAAACGCTCTCAGTATGCACATAATCAAATGCTCCATTGGCATTTATTTTGTTAAATATCTTCAAACCTATAGAACAATTGACTGAACCATGATCATTGGCTGCAAAGTATATATGAAGATTACCTTCACGGGTGTCGAGCTGAGGCTTTCTATCAGAAGGCACAGTTAAAACATGAATGTCATGCCCTTTAGCAGCAACAGCATTGTCTAATTCCGCAGCATGATGCTCCATGCCACGAGGGGCTGCACCAATGGGCCATGTCTTGGAGAGCACTGCAAGCTTAAGCATCTCAAAATTATTTCCAGAAATTTGGCATTGATCTCTAATTAAGGTCACCACTGAATCTTGCTTGCCCTGCTGCCCAAGAGAATGGTTCAGGCACATGTCGAATCGGCGAAATGAAGAGATAAAATGAAGTAAAGAGGATAGCTATAGTTAAAATAGTTGAATATCTGATGGAGAAGCAACTAGAACAAGAAGAGGATCTGCAGTTTTGATTTTCCAAACCCATTGCTGCCAGCAGTTTAGAACAAAATTTCAATTTGGTTATATTTATCAATTTGAATATTGTGCAGTTTCAATGATATGACTGCAATGTGCCACTTCAACTGGATCTCCTCCAGCTTTTGCAAGGTTTAATGGGGATGCACATGGCCAACTTTGAGTTTTTGTCAACACCACCAGCATTGATTTCAAAGCTTCAAGTGCTAAAGTGAAGTCTACTTCTGAACCTTGGACAACTATATTTTAATGTCACGAAGGCCATATGTCGTGGAACTTCCTTAGACATTCTTTCGCTTTTACCTCACTCGCTCTCTCGAGCGCGTGCGCTAACTCATCTCTGAGACTCTCTCTCTCTCGATCGTGAGCATCTCTCTTCTCCACTCTGCGAACAAACAAAAAGAAAGAAAGGAATCGTACGGATCCAATCCCTCCAAGTTCCCTATTTACAAAATTTAAAGGGAAAAACCAAAACCCAAACGCTAATTTTCAATTTTCTTTACCTCTGTTAAAAACCCTAAAAAATTTCCCTGCTCTCTTTCCCTGTCAAAAACCCTAATCTTTCCGTAACCCCAACATAAACCCCAAACCCCCCCCCCCCCCATTTTTAAGCCTTTAGCTTCCCTGGGTATTGCTTAAATTAGTGTTTTCCCCCTCTTTTTGTGTTACAAATTTGATCTTTTCTGGGCCCTTTCTCTTCTTTCTTTTTTATATGAATGGCTACTGGGAAAATTGAAGGTGAAGAATCAAAGGACAACAAAGTTTATACCAGAAAAAACCACAACAAACCCATAAATCCCACCTTTGTCCCTCAGCAATCTTCTCAGCAAACTCTAGCCACCACCACCACAACTGATGATAACAACTCCTCTCGGAAGCTGTCACTGCAACCCCTCGATGTCGTGGCATCTGACGATTCGTCGAGCCATAATCGTTTGCAGCAGGGTGCACAGAATGTTACCAATGTGATTGCAACAGCTGGGTATGTTAAATATGATAACCTTGTTAAGATTAACTTGAATGTTTTGTCCAAGAATGAAGTTAAAGTTTTGAAGAGGAAGTTAGCTAGTGAACTTGAGCAAGTTAGGGGTTTAGTTAAGACATTTGAGGCTAAAGAAGGTAGGTTTAGTGGGGGGTATGCGAATTCGCGGGTTTCAGGGAATGACAATGTTGATAGAGGTGGCGGAGGTTTAGTTAGAGTGAATTCTGACGTTGGTTCTGTAGGACTGTCTAGTACAAGGCCTTTTCATGGATTATCTGTTTCTGTGCCAGAGCATGATCATAGTAACCATGGTGGTGATGGAAGTGAGTTTGTGGATAAAGAGAAGAGAACCCCGAAGGCAAATCAGTATTGTAAGAATTCCGAGTTTGTTTTACAGAAGGAGAAATTGAAGCCTATGGAGAGTAATAAGAAGATGAAACCGAATGTTGGGAAGACTAATGGGGGTCAAACGGGAGGTGGGATTGCAACGGAGAAGTTTTCAAGTCAGTTGTTTAAGAGTTGTAGTAATTTGTTAGGGAAGTTAATGAAACATAAGTTTGGTTGGGTGTTTAATAAACCGGTGGATGTAAAGGGACTTGGGTTGCATGATTATTATTCAATTGTTAAGCATCCTATGGATTTGGGTACAGTGAAGACTAGGTTGAACAAGAATTGGTACAAGTCACCTAGGGAGTTTGCAGAGGATGTGAGACTAACTTTCAGTAATGCAATGCTGTATAACCCAAAAGGACAGGATGTGCACATTATGGCAGATACGTTGTCAGGGATATTTGGAGAACAGTGGGCAGCTATAGAGTCTGAGTATAATCTTAATAAGAGGTTTGAAAGGAGTCATGATTACAGTTTGGCAACCCCAACTTCACAGAGAATTCCTACGCCGGCTCCAGCTATAGCTCCAGTACAAGCTCATGTTCCTCCCGCTCCTGCCCCTGCTCTGCCACTATCATCAGAAGCTAGGGCTCTAGAGAGATCAGAATCCATGACAATGCCCGTTAATCCCAAGTCAAGAGCTGTTGAATTGACTCCTACTGGTAGGATTGCAGTACCAAAGAAACCCAAGCCAAAGGATCCTGGTAAGAGGGATATGACTTATGAGGAGAAGCAGAGACTCAGTGTAAACCTTCAGAACTTGCCTTCAGAGAAACTTGATAGCATTGTCCAGATTATTAAGAAGAGGAATCAAGCACTTTTCCAGCAAGAAGATGAGATTGAGGTGGATATTGACAGTGTTGATCCTGAAACGCTTTGGGAACTTGATAGATTTGTGACCAACTATAAGAAGAGTTTGAGCAAAAACAAGAAAAAAGCTGAAGTTGCTCTTCAAGCAAATGTAGATGAGCATAATATTCAGGAGACTGTAAGATGATGAACAAGTGATATTTGAAAATCTAGATGTTTGGCCTGTTTAGAATTATTGTTCACTAGGAACGTTGTTATTCTTCTTGCAGAATTTGGAACCACCTGCTGAAGAGGTATCAAAAGTGGCTGAAACAGGTAATCACTTTGAACCAACAAGAATTTGCTCTGCTTTGGTCTATTCCCACTTCTTTGGTTCTGAAGAAGATGAAATTTTCATTCACTTATTAGTAAACTGGTTGGATTGTTAAAGCAGTGAAGAGGATTGTTTCCACATCACCTCCAATTCGTGGAGAAAGGCTACAAAATAACAAGAGTGGATCAAGTAGTTCAAGCAGTTATAGCAGTGGCTCTGGATCCTCATCAAGTGGTAAATATTAAACTTTTTCTTTTGTTATGCTCCTATGGGTGTATATAGTCCAGATTTTACATTCTAATACTTTCATGCAGACTCTGACAGTGATAGTTCATCTGGATAAAGTAACCTGTTTCAACTTGTTTTTTAATGGACTTAACTGAAGTAAGGATCATTATCTTGGCTAATGAACTTTTTCAATCCCCATTTCTCACATAAGTTGTGCAGTTTTTTTTTTAATGGTACTAGCATTCGGCTCATCTGAGTGGGAAAAATTACAGTTTCCATTAGTTTCCAAAGATTAATTCACTCAAACTAGAAACCTACCTTTCAAGGTCATAATGGTAGCTGGAGCCCAATGGGAATTAAATATTAGTCTTGTTTCCCTTTATGCTTTTTAATGGAGCACACCTATATAACCATTCCTTAGAATATGGGAAGTAATATCTGATTAACTGAATAAATATGATTGCAAGGCAGTTTGGAAAGGGAGAAAATGATATATCCTTGATAATATTCTCGGTCACTGTGTTAAGGACTAGGAAGTAGTAGTTACTTATTACTGACAACAAATGTTGAATTCAGATCTTTGTAACTGTTGCTGACAATGTTTCATCCCAATCTATTCCTGTCTTCCATCACATGATCGGCTACGTCACCAAGACCTTTACCATGACTCCATCGGAACCCCTATGTACACAATTCAGAGTTCACTTTTAATTTTGAGGATTTAAATTTGACATGAATATTTGTTTTAACCATAGTGTGCATGCATCTTGAGTTTGTTTTAAACTTAAATTGGGCTTAACCTACACTCTAGTTATGGTATGTTTATCGCGGTAGAGTTAGAAAACATCATGTAGATGCTGATTTATTTTAGATGATATATAGGATGCAGTATCTTTGTTCTCTGCTTTGGAGACAAGGCTTGAGTTAATGTGCTTCTTGTTGCTTTTGTAGATCATCAAGTAGCAACCAACAAGATCATTACCAAGTAGCAACCAACAACTTTTACAATGTGAGCTTCTTGTCGAACTGCATAATGAAGTCTCTTTTAGTCTAACCTTTTAATAGGGATGATGAATCGCATGCAACACTGAAATTTTTGTATAACTGAAGTTGTGCAAAGCTGGTTCATTCAGTTACATCATGGGAATCATATCTAATTGTAATCTGTCTTTTCGAACCAAATTGTAATATAGTTGCTAATATAGTTGTGGCAATAAGGTTTTCTGTAGGTCATCGTTCCGTACTTTACTTGCCACTTGTATCTTTTTTGAGATGAAATATCAACTTCTTTTAAAAATGTTGAGCCAACATCAGGTTTAGGGTTTGGTTTAAGAATAAGAGTAATTTGTTTGCAATGACCAGTCGTATTTTCCCTTATTTTTCAGAATATATTATGAGTTTGACATACAATTTTAAACAGGATACGATGCCATCATATAAAAAAATTTAAAAAGATACACAATTTAAATATTTAACAAACATCTTGAACTTGGTAAAAATTACCTGTATTTTTTATTCACTAATTGTTAGATATAATTTTGATACAAGTTAATACATCTTTAAAATATTGAAAAAAAGAGAAGAAGGTAAAGGATAGTGAATAACTTTTCACCAAAATCAGATTCTCAAGGTATAATCTGTCGTGAACAAATGTGATTTCACAATTTTATACTCGTATGAATGAAACATTCTACACCTAAAATGGTAAAAGTTTTAGGCAAACCCTCACCTGTCACATACCATTGGAAATTATTGTTGGAAAATTATGACACGTAAATGTCACGGGTCGAGACTTAAGCTCCGAACCCGCGCGGCTTCGGGACCCGGGCATTCACCCTTCCGGTGTCCCGAATCAGCCTATCTGCCACGGTTCACACCCTTGTGAGGTATTGTCCGCTCTGGCCCCCCTTGGCCTCACGGTTTTGTCCTACAAAAGGCGCCTCACAAGGCGGAGGTGGTGTGAACCCTTTTATACCCCAGTGACCTTCCTATTATGTTCGATGTGGGATTCAGGACTCTTCCTTAGGTCCGTGACATTCTCCCGCACCCAACCTCGTGACGCCCTCGTCACGGAGGCCGGCCACCCTGCCTACCTCCCTCGAGGTGCTTGGCGTGGATCGAACGGTTTAGGGCTGGCTCTGATACCACTTGTCACGGGTCGAGACTTAAGCTCCGAACCCGCGCGGCTCCGGGACCCGGGCATTCACCCTTCCGGCGTCCCAGATCAGCCTTCCGCCACGGTTCACACCCTTGTGAGGTATTGTCCGCTCTGGCCATCTGGCCTCACGGTTTTGTCCTACAAAAGGCGCCTCACAAGGCGGAGATGGTGTGAACCCTTTTATACCCCAGGGACCTTCCTATTATGTTCGATGTGGGATTCAGGACTCCCCCTTAGGTCCGTGACATAAGGCCTATCCTGTAAAGAACAGATAAGCTGATGCTGCTTGCAGCATGAAACACAACAACAGCAGCCACAAAACTGCAAAATTTTCATTGTTCCAATGAAAGAAATCATAAATAATGTCAAATTAACTCTGGTTGGCGAACTTGATTCCCTTCTCAATGGATGCTTTCAGTTCTGGTTTAAGGCTCTCCAAGCCTTCCTTCTCGTAGTCAGAGAGAGGACCCAACCCCAAAACTTCCTCTACACCATTCTTTCCAAGCCTTACCTGCAAGCCTTACCTGCAATCAGGGATAGAGTTTACAATACAATTCAAGGTAATCCAAAGCAATCAAGCAAGTTGGGGAACTTATACTTCTATATTATTTTATTGAATTTTGAATTTGAATGTCTCAAAATCTGAAAAATTCGTGGGAGGGGTCATTTTTGGATCCAGAATGGATAGGATTCAAGAAATAAGAGAATTAAGGATACCCACTAGAAAAACTAATCCAATCCATAAAGATGTACCGGAAAATACAATATTTTTGTTACTCAACCAACCATCAGGAGAAGCAAATACAACAGGTACATAATGATTAACGAACTAGTAATTAATGCAAAAACAGCCAATTGGAAAGCAATAGTCATGTTTCTAATCCTCCAAGCTACCAACAAAAGAACTATACCATTTGATCCCTCTATCATATCGACAAAAAATAGGATGGTAAAGCTGAGATTAACTCTGGTTGGCGAACTTGATTCCCTTCTCAATGGATGCTTTCAGTTCTGGTTTAAGGCTCTCCAAGCCTTCCTTCTCGTAGTCAGATAGAGGACCCAACCCCAAAACTTCCTCTACACCATTCTTTCCAAGCCTTACCTGCAATCAGGGATAGAGTTTACAATACAATTCAAGGTAATCCAAAGCAATCAAGCAAGTTGGGGAAATAGGATGGTAAAGCTGTAGCACAGGAAGCTGCTCAGTATTGCCTTAAGTCTATGGTGGAAGGGTTTGAGCAGAGATCATAAATCCAAACCTTGGTACTCTCCTACGCACACACCAACACAGTGGAGTGGAGCACAAGTACCATTGCTCAACAGATGGACAAAAACTTAAGAGATGTCAAGGCAATTTTAAGAAATGAACTATGTGTGTGGGGACAATCACCTTAGAAGCAAAGAAAGGAAGTTCAGTGACAGTTGACTGCACAAATGAACATTCCACTACATCATGAATGCCATTCAGTCCCTTAAGACAAGCATCAGCAAAAATGGCTCCAGCATAACTGCACAAAAGAAACTTAGTCAGGCTAGAATGAAGTAAACTAAAATCATATGCTTCCATTTTATGACTACATACAATTGCAAGGAAATCAAAACTCACAAGTGAAGAAGTGATAACTAATACTTACGCCATTGATAATGTTGCTGAACCTTTCCAACCTTTGCTTCCACAACTTCAGTGCCTCCATCTTGGGTTCGTTTTGGGAGAGACTTGAAATCCTCTTCAGCCAAATTGGCTTTTGGTGTGGCCTAAAAAATTTAAATTGCAACTAAAACTTAGCAAAGACTATGATCAACAAAAACTGAAAGGAGCATAACTATGTCATGCATTAGATAGATGTAAAATATAATCAATGAAGAAAGGGATAAGGAGAACAAGAAAGTACTTGAGAAAATAGTGGGAGAATGGTTATTCCAGCATGACCACCAACAACTGGGACGTTAACATCTGCAAGCAAGTGAAGAAATTTGTCAAGAGCAAGAATCCAAATTATTTTATGCTATTATATGTTTAGGGTCAAAAGAGTTTTCACCAAAGAGAGAAGAATTAGTTAAAAACTTCATTTCTGGACCCTAGAAATCCTCAATAACCCTCAATTAACAATTTTGTTTATTATTTTGTAACAAAAAAGTGGAGCCGGAGGAAAGATGAATTAGTTTTTTCCCTTTTTCTTTACAGTAATATTTACCAGTCAACAGGATTGTTGTAAGAGAACTTTGACAAGTCAAGAATTAAACAAACCTGCACGTTTACTTTTGCATTCCCAGCGTAGAAAGTCTTAGCCCTAACCACATCAAGGTAGTTACACCAAACAATTTTCTCTCATCATATATCCCTGCCTTCTTGAAAACCTCGGCTACGATCGGAAAAGTTGAATTGACAGGGTTGCTAATCATATTAACAAGTGCCTGGGCCATTCAGCAAAAAGTTGGAAAAAAATTATAGTCTTACGGAGGCTCATAACAGAAAGAAATCATTTGTTGAAGCCAAGCAATATCTTTCAATTATCAAAACTGTCTGTTAACTTTAAGCAACAGGGACAGGGAGAAAAGTACAATGATCAGTTAATGAAACAGAACTTGTTATTGAAGCAGATTCTAAAATCCAGTTTTATTTTCTTCTATCATTCTACAGTTATCCCACATCAGTTTTTCCAATGAAAAGAAAAAGGATAGACACTCACATTGGGGCAATACTTAGCAATAGAAGCACATAGATGATAGACCCTTGACAATTCCGGCATTGATATTGAAAAGATCATCACGAGTCATACCAGGCTTTCTTGGCAGGAATGATGACAACATCAGATCCCCAAAGCTTTCCCCAATTACTCTTCACCAACATATAAAGCAAACACAAAAAGGATGTAAATTGCTAAGGAATAAAGGTGATAGAAGTTAAGGCAAATGAGATTATCAAACGAAAAAGGAATCAAAGACAAATAGATAAACTGATGAAGCCAAAAACAAATATGTATAAATAAATGACATGAAACTAAGACAGCTAATATCAAGCTTATATACATAGCACAATCTAAAAAAATGAGTTATATATATATATATATATATATATATATATATACCTCAGATCTAGTGTTGATGTGCCTAATATCAGCGGCAACGCCGGGAGTGTTGTTGATATCATAGAGAGCAAGTCGAGAAACCAGAGGGTTAAGCTTCATGAGGAGAGCCAAGGGCTGGCCGATCCCCGCCTGCGCCCAAGACCGCGACTTTCCTGTGAGGGACGGATTCGGTGACATATCTTCGGCGGAGAAGGTGCTTGCCGGAGGCCGATCGAGCTGCGGATCGAAACATTTTTGCAGAGGGTTTAAGCTGAAGAGTGGGAGAAGGTTTTTTAGGGTTTGTTTGATTGGTTAGAGAGTCTAGTTACAAGTAAAGGAGCGTTGAAAATGAGTGGAATGAGTTACTCTTTTTTACTGTTTTACAGTGGCAGTTTAAAGGTGCATTTCATGTTTCTTGGGTTAAAAGGTTTTAATTTTTTTTTTCTGACTCTTTTTTGCTGATTAAAAAATGTAATTGTAAAATTTTTTCTTGTTAATTTATCATACTTGATATGATTATTAGATATCAATATTTTTTATTAAAATTTTCAATTTTTTGGAGACAAAATGCTTATTACATTATTAACATTCTTTTTCTCTCGTTTGACTTTGATTTTTAACTTATCTAAAAATTATATAAAACATTGTACAAAACCGATTGACTTTTGTAATGTTCTGCTCAAGATATGATTCGGTTGTTGATTTTTGAAATCTCTTATTAATGGGTTGATTTGATCCATCAAATTCAATGACTGATCTTAGGAGGGATCAAATTAAATAATACTTGTAATTAGAAAATTTTTACTTAAACATATAATATGTTATTATTTTATAAAAAATTATAAAAATTTTAAGTAAAATATGGCATTTATAATCATAAATAAGATACATAAAAAATTTAAGTATTGAAAAAAAAAATTTAATTATTTAAAATAAAAAAATCAAATAATTTTATTTAAAATTGTATACAACAATCTTTCATAAAATGAAAATCATTAGATTAAAAAGTTTTAACAAGTTTTCTCTCAATATAGCTAGTAAAATTAAAATTTTCTCTCAATAAATATTGATAATTTTTTTATTTAAAATTAAAAAAACTTGTAATTTATTATTAATGACTTCAAAATTAGAAGCTAAAAATATAGTGATCTTACCATGAAAGAAGTTTTAATCATCATTGTATCACCATTGCTCTAAGAAGACAAAAATACACTTTCTTTTGCAATAACTATAGTGATTTGGCATGGGGTTGAACCTTTTAAGAGATAAGACTTAGTGTTTTTAAGAAATAAAACTTAGTGTTGCGTTCAGAATTTTAGAAAATAAGATTTGTGTCTCTTTTTGTTTTATTAATCTCACATTTTTTAATTTTTTGGTAAACTTTTTAAAATAGTTTTGACAATTTAATGTAGATCATATTTAACAAATATATTTATTTTTTAATGAGAACTAAACTATAAATATTAATTTTTTTACAAATTAATTGGAATTTGAGAATTGATTTTTGTCTTAAAAGTTTTTTTTTTAAATTACAAGTTCAAATTACAATTATAATTAAGTATTACATAATTGAATAATCAAATAAATAAATTAATCAATAAATTAGAAAATAACTATACAAATTTAACATAAAATTGAAACAAATCCACGTATAATGAAACTTAAATCTAAAATCTCAAGTGTCTAAATATTTAAAATCACAAAAAAACA